GAATGCCAGTGCCTGCTGGGCCGGTGGGCACATAGGAGGGGTGGGCCACTTCTCACAGAGAAGGTTCTACTTGCCCTGAGCTTTGAAAAGTCAGTAGCTCACCAAGCAGCTTTTGTTAGTTTTTAAACCCCTAAGGGCAAACCCTGCTTAACTTTATAGTTACCAAGATAATCTGAGTTCACTAACTCGTTTCTCTCCATATTAAAAGTGTTTCTGAGTACCTCCTTAAATAAGGTCTTAAGTAAAAGTTTATAAGCTAAAGTGTTTACATGTAATTGGAATTATGGTGAGTGGTTAAGGAAGTAGACTTTGAGGACTTCCCTGGTGGTCCAGTCCACTTGCACTGCAGGGGGCACGGATTCAGTCCCTGGTTGGGGAACTAAGATCCCACATGCCACGCAGCACAGCCAAAAAAAATAATAATTAAAAATAAATTCTAAAAAAAGAAAGTGGACTTTGGTATCTGATGTGTTTTTGACCTTGCCGTTTTAGAAGCTCTGTGACATAAGCACGTTATAGTCATTTCTAAGACTGTTTTCTCATATATGACAATGGCAGTTATAAAGAGCTACGTTGTAAATGTGCAGTTTAAGTATTTTATGTAAAAGTCGATCACATGCCTAACACAAAGTATCCAATAAATGTTAGCTGCTTTTAAGTGCTGAATGAATATAATGTATGGTGATGTTATTACTATTACTACTTGCTAGGCAGTTGAGGGGTTAATACCAAGGATGAATAAACAGTCTGTGCTCTGCCATGGCCCCTCCTGACAGAGGGGATGGACTGACACAGAAGTTCAGACCCAGCCGGCTGTGTGTGGGATGCACAGAGGAGGGAAGGGATCCAGGAGGTGAGATTGGACCTGCATGTTGAAGGATGTGTAGGATGCTGATAGGCAGAGATGGTGGCGAGGTACCCTAGCAGGCGACACAGCCTGGGCAAAGTCACAGAGCAGCCAGATGCTGCCAGGCCCAGTTCAGTGGCACGTGAGGCTGGGGAGTGCTGGGGTTGGTCAGAAAGACAGGACTGAGTATCTACAGCTTAGCGTCATCGCTCTGCTGTCTGCATTCTCAGAGGAGAAATTAACATCACTAGTCTTCCTCTTTTGTAGCTCGCTCTCAAAAGTCTTCAGGCATCGGGCGTCTGATGGTGCACGTCATTGAAGCTACAGAACTAAAAGCCTGTAAACCAAATGGTAAATGCTTCTTTCCTTCAACTGGTGTGGTAACTACCCTGCTCTTTGCTGATGACTCTTCTGAACATTGAGTAACGGGACACTTTTTAAAAGTATTTCCAGTGCCACTAAAATGGTTATTGGACCAAAATTATTATCACTCTAGTTTCCCAATAAATACTGATGCCTCCTTCCTCAGTGCTTCTGAGTGGAGAAAGCAGGAAGCAAGCTGCACTGACACATGCTCATGGGGAGCAGCCCTGGCATTCGAGCCCACACAGTCCCTCCCCAGGTTTATGATGCTGTCAGCACTGGGAACAGAGACCACAAGGCAGATGCAGACCCTCAGGCAGTGACCCCTGCGGCCATGGTCTATAGAGAAACATCTGTGTAGATCCTGCTTCTGCTCGAAGAAGGCCCTATTGTCACATGCCACATGTATATTGGTTTGTTTTTGTTCAGGAAAGAGCAATCCATACTGTGAAATCAGCATGGGCTCCCAGAGCTACACCACCAGAACCCTTCAGGACACACTAAATCCCAAGTGGAATTTTAACTGCCAGTTCTTTATTAAGGATCTTTATCAGGATGTGCTGTGTCTTACCATGTTCGACAGAGACCAGTTTTCACCAGATGGTAAAGTATAACTCTGGGGGGTGGGGGCGGGGATATGAAGTTTTCCCCCCATACTCTAGGATCTGGGGTCTGGAAGCCGGGTGCTCAGCCTTGTTTGTTTTCACCCCAAGACACCTAAGGGCAGTGACACAGGCCATGGTCCTCAGCAGCTCTCAGTGGCTGCAGGGGGGATACCTTCTCAGAGGAAAGGGGGGGTGGCCTCAGGTGTGTTTCAGGTCTTTGACCCCAGTCACCCCTGCTTACCTAATGGAAACGCTGTGCTCCTGGCACCTACTGAATGGGTGAGCCATTCCCTGACCAAAGAGGCTTGGATTCCCAGCAGTTTGAGTTTCCCTCACACAAATCCCTTGTTCTGCATGCATCCATCCATTCACAGTATCCAACAGCCATTAACCAAAAGAAGTTACTTGTTTTGAATTTGAAAGTTTTATGAATCCTATTTCAGACACTCCTTCTGTGATAGTTTTTTAAGTTTTTTAAAGACTTTTGACGCTCACTTGTCTATTCACCAGATTTCCTGGGTCGCACTGAAGTTCCAGTGGCAAAAATTCGAACAGAACAGGAAAGCAAAGGCCCTACAACCCGCCGACTGCTGCTGCATGAGGTCCCCACCGGGGAGGTCTGGGTCCGCTTTGACCTGCAGCTTTTTGAGCAAAAAACTCTCCTGTAGGGGCCTTAGGGATCTGCCCACTAGGCTGGGGCTGGAGAAGATAGCCGGTGCTGCCCCTGAGCTGGCGGAGCGTCGCGCCGCTTCATCCATCACAAGGCCACGCATGCTGGGGCCTCTATTTTATCGCACACTAAATCGCTAGCAATCTATGCAAACATGACCTTCCCTATAAATAAACCAAACCCCATAGCACAGTGCCTTGTATTAGTGTTAACATGTTCGGCTGTGTTTAGATGCCAGGATTTCCATTTTCAGGGCTATAAAAAGTATTATGTGGAAATGAGGCATCAGACCACCAGACGTTACCACTTGGTTGAATGTGTCCACTGTGGGTGGTTTGGGTGACGCTGTAACCATTTCACACCACGTGACCTCCGCTGGGTCACAGCCACTCAGGAGGTGAAGGACTGGGAAGAAATGCAGCCTCAGCGTGGGAACAGCCTGATTACGGAAATAGTGTCCACTTGTGCACTGAATAAAAACAGAAACTTGATCATTTTACTCCTGATTAGATTTTATCATTCTCTGCTGAGACAATATAGTTTGAAATCTAAGGGGGAAAGCTTGATTTACTTTAAATACTGTGAACTCTAATGATGCAGAAAATATTTTTCAACGTTAATTTTCTGAAGTATAAATTATTTATGTAAATTCCTTGTTTTTGCATATGTCATAGGACATGCATCTTTAAGCTTTATCATTGCCAATATGTACAGAAAGAGAATAAAAATATAAATTTATGAATGTAACTTCAAAGCTTGACTGATTTACTTTCTATGTGAAAGGCTTTTAAAAGGTAATTTCAGGGGCTGCTTGTAATGAATCCAAATCTCCTTTCTGCAACAGTGAGAAAAACCAAGGACAGAATGTGGCGGGGGAGTAGTCAGTCAGGAGACCCCAGAGCCTCGTCTTGACTGCCATTGACTTGCTCTGTGACTCTGGTCACTTTACCTACTGTTTCTGGGGCTTGGTTTCTTTGATGGCTAGAATGGATGATCTCTGTGGGAGCTAGAGCGTTCCCTTTTGAGTGCCTCTGTTTGCCTAGCTGAGTAGACCCTCAGGGGTAACGTAGCCATGAAGAAAATGCACAAGTATTAAAGATCATCAGCAGGTCCCTCAGCCCCTCCAGCTCCAGAAGCACCTGTCTCCCTCCCCCTGCCCCCATGCTGTCAGAGACACATCCACACCTGTCAGAGCTGTTTACTCAGCCTCTGGATTTTGAAATGTGAACTGTCTTGAACACTGATAAAAATAAGGTCTTTCTTACACACTAAATCCCTGGGTTAATGAGTACAACTGGGAAAAGATCTGCCTTTTGGAAGGAATCACACAGGCTACAGAAGCCCTGATTTCTCAGGGAGCAGGTGTTCTCTAGCAGCTATAAGGAAGGATTCAAATGTCCCCACACCAGAGCCCCTGTTTCTGCCTAAACATAATCACTGGACAAAGAAAAACTGGAAAACAATTCAGAATATTCAAGGAAAAAAAATCCATCATTCCAGGTATTGATCCTGGGCACTGATGGGCTAAAACACAGACCTAAAAGAAATACGCCCCAGTGTCAAAGGAAGAGACGCTCAATATCTGAACCCAGACAATTAAGAATGTTGCTCAATTTAGGGAAAGTCTGGCTGCTCAGGCTCAGCCGCACTGAGCAAAGCAAACTGCTGATCTTCTACAGGGTTCTGAGACTCGAGCTGTGTTGGTTATGGAGGCAGGTGTGGGCTGATGTTCACAAGTCTGCCTCTGACCAGCTGACTTTCAAAGCATACAGCTGCCACTGATGGGTCAGGCAGGCTTAAAACCAGTCCTGGGGTTACCTGTGACCATAGCTATAGGATAATCCTTTCCTGGGACTGTGGGACTTCCTCACTGGGATGAACTGCGGCTAGTGCCATGTCTCCATGTCTAGATATGTTAGCGTTCTTGTGGGACTTAGGACAGAGGAGCCTGCAAGAGGGGAGTCAGACAACTGTGAAGTTACAGAGGATAGTTAATGGCAGTACTTCAAGCAACTCCAGTCACCCCCTTTGATGGAGGAACATGGCACTGCTCCTTAAGAAGTCACATTCTCTCCTGACAAAAACGGTAGCCTGATTTTCTGAAGGGCGAGGAAGGGACTACCTTACACTACCTACCCCTCCAGGGGAAAGACTGAGTGGCTGGAGGAGAGCCCAGCAAGCCCCTCCCGTGCTCTTCAGGATCAGGGTGCCCAGGCGGGCAAGCCGGACAGCTCCACGCTCTGAAAGGGGACCCAAATTCTGAGCAGTCTAACATCACAAAGTCAGAGTGGCTTCGAGGAGATCGAGTGCCCTGGTGAATGACCATGTGCTTTGGCACCAGAGGGACTGGACGTGGGATAGAGAACACCGCCACTTTCAAACCGTGCAGCTGACCTGGAGCGAGTTAGCAAACCTCTGAGCTTTGTGTAATGGAAGGTGATAATACTACCTTGCTGGGAAATTTTTTAAATGAATACACAGTACCTCACGCAGTTCCCGATTCACAAGGGAGAGCTCAATAAACAGTAACTTATTATTTGGATATTCCTCAATTTAGGGAAAGTCTGGCTGGTCAGGCTGAGCTGCATTGAGCAAAGCAAACTGATCTTCTATTTCTTTCTTCTGTTTTTCCATTTCTGGAGAGAAAAAATGTTGGCAGCGTTTTAATGTTGTAGAGACACTGCAAAGTAAAGGTCAGCAAAGCTTTGTTACAAACGGCCCCTTATGGGGCACAGTTCCGGGGGCGGCCAGGTGCCGCCCCAGGACCTCTGCTGTCATCACTCTTCTTTCCACGGGCTGTGACCTCCGCCTCTGCTGGCCTTCCCCAGCTACCCAGGATCTGCGTCTGTGCCATCTGGTTCCTAAAACCTATTGACAGAAGAGCTGAGTGTAGGGTGGGGAAGAGGGGCTCACGGGACAGGGAGGAACTTCCCGGCTGATTCCAACTGACACTCATCTTCCGGGCAGCTTCCCAGCCAGCCCTCCCCTCACCTTACCCTCACTCTATCTGGGGTCTGCACCTCTCAGACAGGGCTTCCCGTGTCTCTGGACTCCACACAGCACTAACTTTCTGTGGTGTGGCAGAGATGACCAGCTGTCCGTGAAACGCCAGCTCTCCCTGCCACCGTGCTCTGAGCAGCAGGGACTACTCTTCCAAGCACCCCCTGCCCCCTGCAGTTAGGGGCCGCCTTGTGACTTGGTCCTGGGGGCCCCCCTACACCCCCAGGCCAGACGTCCTCCATGACCTCTTCCCTTTTCAGGTTGACAGGAATGAATTCCTGGGGCAAGCTTGGCAGCCAGGTGCTGGAGATGAGAAACGTTCCTACAGCCAGGCGCCCTAAAGACTGCATGGAAGAGGGACGGCCTGCCAACCTGCTGACCCACCAGCTCTGGTACAGGAGCAAAAAATAAACTTCCAGTGTACGTAACCCACGCTCCACTTTTTGATCTCTTGGGAGTAACAGTTAGGCTGCCCTACCGTAAGGGCCTGGCTGAACACAGTCACGTTCAAACCTGACTGAGGGGCTGGCTCCCCGTGCTCTCAGATAGAATCACGCTCAGAGGTAACTTACCACATAAGAGGCATCCGTTTCTCTCTGGACAGACAGGAGAACAACGGGATTGGGTAGGAGTTGGGTCACAAAATACCTATCTAACAAGGTTTTCAAGCTAGAGAAAAGGACAGCCCCTCGCGCTTTGTGTGTGGTGGAGGGAAGGAGCCACGCTGGTGAGTGAAAGAAGAGATGCAAAAATCTACAGTTCGCTCAGAACGGCAGGAAGCTACTACCTACCAAGTGCCCGAAGCCCTCCCTAGAAGCGTCCTAACCCTCAGGCTTCAGGGTATACAGGTTGTGGGAGAGAGGATGGAAGGGGAAATAAACCGTGAGCTGTCAGCTGTACCAACCGGGGTGTGAGCTCTGGGTAGGAAATCTGTGCATGGAAATTTCCTGCATGTAAAGGCCTTTCACATAAACTATCATTTTGCCCTAATTTTTTTTTTTAGTATAAATTTCATTTCAAAAGATTCCCACCTGTTGTGACCAAACTATGGAGAACAAAATTTTTGGTCTGGTTTGGATGTAATAAGCAGTAAATGGTAGGAAAATGGCAGGAGAGCAAAAACTCAGAAAAAAAGAGCTGAGGATATCTTAGAGGGAAGATCCCCTCTGGCCAGGTTTTCTCTCACCTTATGAAGGGCACAATCTGTCCCCCAGAAGTGGGGTCCGGGGTCCCACAATCTCCTGAGTGTCTTCACCCAAGGCTCTCCTGCTAAAGGGTGCCTGTCCATGCAGCAGTACTGAGCCCAGAAGAGACTCCACCACTTCTTCTGCATGAAATAAATCCTCCTGCCTCCTCTTTCTCACTCCCTTCTTTGGCTACTACTGCCTGTTCTGCCCTCAGAGTCTGTCTGAAAGGAAGGGGTTTGTCAATGGATTCTGGACCCTGTCTGCTATCTGTCGGATGTTACACAACTCTGCCATCCGAGCCCTGTTCCCCCCAGATCTCTGCTCACCAGACTCTTCTTTTCATGCTTTTTACTCTCCTGGCCAAGCTTCGAGGAATAAAACTGCCTTTCAGAAACAGTCTGACTTAGGTCACTAGTCGTTTTCTCTTTATCAGGCGGATATTTCTCTTCTGCACAGACAAGCTTTTCAGGACTGCAAAGAAAAGTAGAAAAAATTTATCTTAATTCAGTATAAACAGAATTGTACCATTCAATAACTGTCTGAAAATTAAGTTAATGAACTCAATACTCACTTTATGAAAAAGAGAGACTGAGAAAACATCACTTTGTGGCCGTCAATCAGTCTGCCCCACCCACACCTCTGCTGATGCCACTCTTAGGCAGTAAGTCATGTGACCTTATCAGGCTGTGGTTGAGGCACCTGACCCAGAGCCTCAGTCCCTAGAGTTGTAATTGGGACAGAGGGGCTCCAGGCAGCTTTAGAGGGCTCAGACCAGAAAGGCAGGACCAGGGCATCCATTTTCCAGGACATGCACAAGAAAGCAGAGAAAGAGAAAGGAAGCAGGTTCACAAAGAGAAGCTATGACGAATGCCACATAGTCCCAAGGAGGAAAGGACCGGCCTCGTGGTCCCTCAAGTGGCCTGGCTATCTTCCTGACTGCTATGGTCTGAATGTTTGTGTCCCCCCAAAATTCAGATGTTGAAACACAACCCCCAATATGATGTTATTAGGAGGTGAGGTGAAGTGTTTGGGAGGTGATTAGGTCATGAGGGCAGAGACCTCATAAATGGGATTAGTGACCTTATAAAACAGGCCTAAGAGAGTTCCCTCACCCCTTCCACAGTGTCAACCAGAAAGCAGGTCCTTACCAGACACTGAATCTGCTGGCACCTTGATCTTGGACTTCCCTGCCTCCACAACTGAGAGAAATATATTTCTGTCATTTATAAGCCACCCAGTCTCGTATCCTGTTATAGCAGCCTGAACAGACAGAGACACTGACTGTGGCTTCCATGACAGACTGATGCTTTCTAACATACCCAGCCCCCCTTGCCTTTTTTTTTTTTAACTTGACAAGGACTCTGCTTTTTGTAATCAAACTGTCTCTAACATAGCCACCTTGCTCTTAAGTCCTTTTCTTACTTTACTGAACAGCCACCTGAGGCACCTCCAGGAGTGTCCTCTCAGAATGTTTCCCAGGGCTGTTTCCACTCCTGCCCTGGGAAGCCCAGGCCTATCTAGAGAAATCACCTCCTCCTTCATTCCTCCATTCCTTCCTTCCTTCCTTCATCCCACAAGCATTTACTCATCATACAATGTTCCAGCTAAGTGCTGGAAGCACCAAGATAAGTTAGCAGCCCCTGCCCTCAAGGGGCTTGCTGCAGAGGCAAGAGGCAAATGGGGGAGTAGAGGTACTTCATCATGTGATAATCCTCTCAGTGCTGACTTGACCCAGATATTTCTGTGCTTTAGTATATTTCTTTTGTTTAGGGAGTGGGGATTTTTTAGAAGAAGCCAGAAAAGGTGGCAGGACTCAGAGGGCACCTTATGTGCTATGTTGAGTCTGGACATTATTGGAAGGGTTATGTGAAGCTACTGAAGGGTTTTCTGTTGGGGAGGGTTGATCACTTCAAAAAGATGGAAAGGTAGAGAGTCCATCAGAAGAGACAGACCCAAGCGCAGAATACCAGTTACGGAGCTATGACTGTCTATAAAGGCTGAGGAGCCAGAGAAGGCAGATGAGGAAATAAAGCAATATAAAGTCTTTGTCTTGCTAGGAGATGGGATATAATTATTGACATTTAAATAAAAATATTTGTTAAAACTGACAAAGAAACCATGAAACCAGAAATAGAACATAAAACTTCCAAATCACAAGAAAACAAAGTAGTGTTGTTCATTCCAGCAAAACTCAGGATGGGGGATAAAAAGGAAACACCAAGAAAACACAACAGGCCTTTTTCTTTCTTTTCTTTCTCTCTCTCTCTTTCTTTCTCTCTTTCTTTCTCTCTTTTATTTTTTTTTTAATAGAATTTATAAGTCTGCACAGACTGACACTCCTGCTGCAAAAACTAGAGAAAAATAAAAAGAATTCACCTCCTTCCGGCCCCACAAAATTCATATTTTAAAGTCTTTGGACAGCAGTGTAAACAATTCCAGAGAGGAAAGAGCCCTTCCAGAATGAGCTGGCAATCTCTGACTACTGTGTCCCCTGGGAGCTTTGGCCAACATCAGGTAGCAGGGACTGACTCCTCCATGCCCCCGGCATACCTCTGGTGGATCTTTCCTCCCAGGTCTGGTGCTGTCCTTGAAAGTGAGTAGTCAACCTTGTTCTGAACACCACCCCACCCTGCGGAGGGGGGAATCAAACCAGGGCACTTGAAATAGGTCCCCTCAGGCCCTGAATATAGACAGCCTTCCCCAAAACCCATCTGAAAAAGAACCAAATAAAATGCTAGAACTATAAAAATAAAACAATTGAAAATAAGAACTCAGTGGGTGGGTTTAACAACAGATTATTAGACACAGTTGAAGAGATAATTAGTAAAAATACTTAGTATCAAATATGGGGCAACAAAAAGGATGGGAAATACACAAGAAAGGGTAAGAGACAGGGATTACAATGAGAAAATCTAAAATATGTTTAACTGGAGTACCAGAAAGAAAGTAGAGAATATGGCAGAGGTAACCATCAAAGAGAAAATGAATGAGAACTTCCCAGAACTGACTGAAGATATCACTTTACAGATACAAAAAGACCCATGAATCCTGAGTAGGATAAATAAAAAGAAATCCGCATCTAGAAACATCATGGAAAACTACTAAAATCAAAGACAACAAGAAAATCTTAAAGGCATCCAGAGAAAAAAATAATTATCTTCAAAGGAACAACGGTAGGATGGGCAATTGAAAGAGCAAAAGACAGGGGGATATAATATGTGTTGAAAGAAAATATCTGCCAACCTAACATTCTTAACCTTCTTAATCCTGTGAGAACAGCCTTTAAGAATGAAAGTAAAATCTTGAAATGGCTACATACTGTGTGATTCCAACTATATGACATTCTGTAAAAGGCAAAACTATAGACACAGCAAAAAGACCTTTACCTGCATTTGTTACGAGTTTTGCTTCCCACAGGCCTTGCAGAAGCTGTGGGCTGCTCTTTTGGAACCACCCTGTGGAGACTGAAAAGTCAGCTGGGGCAATCTGGCATACTGCCTGGCCTTCTCTAGTTCTTTAAATTCTTTTAAGGTACATCGTTTTCCTACAGGAAGATAAAAATCTAAATCAACACTCTTAAAGTCAACTCCAGTCACTCTTGGGGTAGGAAATCACTTGACAATTGAAGTCTCTAAAGACAAAGCCCCATGATCACAAGTACCCGTCTTATACTGAAAAATAGCCCTCCGCTCTTCATCCAACTCTTGCTGTCTTCTAAACAGAGGATCACAGAACGGTGGGACCGTAACCTGCGAGAACATGACTCTTTGAGGACGCAAGTACAATTTGTATTAAGCATTTTAAATCTGTCTGAAGCATTCGAGTGTGGCCTTACTCTATACCAACTCGGCTGAGAATAAGGACCCAGGAATAATGTCATACAGAGCAAGGGAAGCGTAAATGCCACCTGCCTCACACTAGGATATTTCACTGAGCCTTAAGTGGCTGAATGGAGCAAGGGCCACCCAAAGAGAAGACACATACTCCTGTTCAGAGTTCTACAGTATCACTGCATCAGTCAACAAATATCTGCTAATGCCACTGCGTGCTGCAACCCAGCAAGGTCCTGTCCTTGGGGATCTCTCAGTCTAGAACAGACAAGTCATAGACAACGACCACCTTGTCATGAGAGGCATCAGCTCGGGTGCTTTAGGAGCACAAGGCAGAGCCCTAAGCCGGCTTGGGAGGAAAAGCGCCCCCTTGGGGGCTGACCACTGGTCTCTAAGGGCCCGTGAGAACCGCGGGGCAGGAGAACATCAGTGTGCTGAGGGTCAGGGACCAGCTACAGAGGTCGTGGAGGAAGGTGATTTTCTCCTCCCCCATCCTAAGTATAGGCTTTAGACAGAAGGACTATTTCCCCTTGCTTACTTCCCCACACACTTGACCTTGACCCAATGCTATTTGCAAGGACAACATCCACTGAATGAGGAGACAGCATAATGACTGCCCAACACAATACAGTGAGTCCCCCAGAGCCAAAAGAACCTTCCTATCTTCACAACCACGATCTGCCTTGGTTTTCGGGAGAAGCAAAATAAACCACTTTTCTCTTCAGAGCCACACACGTTTTTTTAATGAATAGTATTATCAGATGGTCACTTTTGCTACACAGGAGTAAAAAACCCGAAACCTACATCTCAAAATTTTAACGCCTATATTGTTGGTTTAAAATGTGAAGACTCATTACAAGTTCAACTACTGGCTCCGTGGGCAGCCTTTCTTGCATCCCTTCTTTCACCTCCCCTAGAAAGGAGCTCTCCCTGTGCTGGTTCTGTGACACTCTCATCACACTCACTGTCCACTTATCTTCCCCTACCTTCTGGGCTTCCAGTTTGCTGAATGTGAGTGGGTGGATGAATGAATGAATGGACGAATTATCACACACATGCAAGTGCCTTTTTCACAATGTCAATTCCCAAGTAGTCGAAATTACTTTGGGTTCCTAATCTAAAACTCAGAGGAAATGCTTTTGTGAATTTTTTTTTAATGAATGCAGAATAACTATGAGACTTCTAAAGTGACCAGGTTTTCCCCAACCCCAGAGCTTCTAAGAATAAATAGGTAAACGTAAGAAACTTACTTACCTTTCCATAATTTGAGTCCTTTTTTGTCATATAAAAAGGCTTGTATACTTCAGGATCATAAGTCTCCAAATATAATTTCCTTTTAAAAAAAAAAAGTACACTTAAGAGCAAAGCATTACATTTAAACGTGCTTTAGTATATTTCTTGTTTTTGCAAGATTCAAAAAAGCCAAATACTTTATTCCATTTCTTATATAAAATCATAGATTCAAAGGGTTGGAAGAAATCTCAGAAGTAATTGAGATTGCAGTGAGAGTCCACCACCTTCTGGGAGAAGTAATCATCCAGCTTTAGTCTCATGTCATCCACTAGCCTTGTTTGAGAACCTTCTGCTCCATTTGGCAGGTACTCTCTTGGTCATTCTAACCACCAGAAAGCTTGTCCTTAAGACAGAGCTGAAGTCTGCCTTGTCACTGCCAGTTCTCCCTGTGAAGCAACACAAAACACAACTTACTCTTCACCCACATGTCAGCCTTTTACAATACATACTTAAAGGTTTCATTTCCTCTTGTATCATCTCTGCCTTGGGCTAAATATGCTGTATTTCTTTCCACTTTTCCTCCTGTGAAGTGTTGTCCAGCTCCACCCTCTTCTAAAGGTTCTGTAACTGGTGACTATCCCCAAGTGGACAGGTTGGGCCTGATGCTTCCCACTCGAAGCACCGCCTCTCAATACAGCCTAAGAACTCAGATGGTTTCTTGGAAGCCAGCTCACATGGCTGACTCACACTGAATTTACTGTCATTTTAAATCACTTGGACTTCAACACATGGCTTTTCTAAGGCATGGCTTCCCCATCCTACACTTGTGTGACCACATTTCTGGGCATACTTGTAAGACGTGGCACTTTGGTTTCAAAGTGACCTGGATTCAACCTTGAGCTCTGTCTCTTAGGGCATTTAGGAAGAAGTAGTTAACATACACGTCCAGAAATTTTGCTCAGTAAATATACCTAAATGCTCTAACATTCCAGTCAAACTACTCTAGATCTCTGCTAAATAACTCGAAATTTAGGTGGGCCTTAATGTCAAAAGAGGGTCCTGATCTCAAAGTTAAAATAGAAAAATCTTCCATAGAAGAAGCCAAAATTTTGTTCTTGTTTTGTAAAACCAAATTGAATAAATGAGGGTATAAACTGGTGATCCCTTCACTTCATGGTTGACTAACTCAACAGCCATGGAAACCACTTCTCCTTTGCCCACAACCTATTAGAGAGATTGGAAAGGCACACACTCTTTCCTGGCTCTGCTTTTAGCTAGGACTTGGGGTGTGACCCAGTTATGGCCAATGAGACCTGAGGGGAAATCTGCTAGGAGCTTCTGGGGACTCTTTTTGCTTCCTGATCACAAAGGATGAGATGAGGTGTAAGAAAAGGACCCCCTGGCATCATTTCTCACCCTTTCTTCCTGCCTTGAACACAGACCTAATACCTGGAGCTGTAAGCAACCAAATGTGCTTTCAAATGTGAGGGTGACAGGCAGAAACTGAAAATATTCAGGATAGCAGAATAGAACAACAGGAAAAAACCTGGATAATTAACGACATTGTTATGCCTCCAGAACCCACCATGAGACCACCTATCCCTCTATTTCTTATTAACCAATAAATGTTCTTATGGTTTAAGCCACTGTTATTCTATTAACATTTACCTAGAAGCATTCCTGATAAATCTAGTTCCAAATCAACACTTCTATTCCCTCTACCTGGAATTTCAGGTTTAAAAATGCAGTAGGTTGTATCACAGTTCCATGAATTCATCTTAGATACAAAAATAAATTTGAGACTCTTTGCATAAATAAAAATGCTGACCCAACTTTTCAAATAATGCTTCATTAGAAAAAAACTCTCATGGGATTTCCCTGGTGGTCCAGTGGTGAAGACTCCGTGCTTCCACTGCAGGGGGCATGGATTCCATCCCTAGCTGGGAAACTAAGATCCCACATACTACATGTCTTGTGGCATGGCCAAAATAAATACAATAAATAAAAATAAAAACCCCATGCTCCAATGATTCTAAAGCTGCCAAAAAAAAAAAAATCTCATACGGTTTTATTTGTGTGCTTTAAAAAATATTCAGGATTCTTTTGTTTTTTCCAACCCTTTATATGAAATTACTTTTTCCATAATTCTCTGCTGAAGAGGCTTTGCAACATTTTCAGTCCATTTTTTATGTAACAACTCTTTTCTTCTTTCCTTAAAAACATCCAGATGCTGAAAATACGTATCCAATCTCTAAGGAAGTGATACAAACAAGGAAAACAAATTATTATTATTAAGAAGTTTTCCAGGCTTCCCTGGTGGCGCAGTGGTTGAGAGTCTGCCTGCCGATGCAGGGGACACGGGTTTGTGCCCTGGTCCGGGAAGATCCCACATGCCGCGGAGCGGCTGCGCCCCTGAGCCATGGCTGCTGAGCCTGCGCGTCCGGAGCCTGTTGCTCCGCAACGGGAGAGACCACAACAGTGAGAGGCCCGCGTATCGAAACAAACAAAAAAAAACAACTGAATTTTGGGCTTCCCTGGTGGTGCAGTGGTTTAGAGTCCGCCTGCCGATGCAGGGGATAGGGGTTCGAGCCCTGGTCTGGGAGGATCCCACATGCCGCGGAGCAACTGGGCCCGTGAGCCACAACTGCTGAGCCCACATGCCACAACTACTGAGCCCGCGTGCCACAACTACTCAAGCCGACGTGCCCAGAGCCCGTGCTCCACAACAAGAGAAGCCGCCACAATGAGAAGCCCATGTGCCGCGATGAAGAGTAGCCCCCGCTCGCCACAACTAGAGAAAGCCCGCGTGCAGCAACAGAGACCCAGCTCAGCCAAAAAAATAAATTAATTAAATAAATAAATTTATTTTTAAAAAAAGATGTTTTCCATTTATTTTCATTTGAATAAGCGGGGCGGTGGGGGGGAACACTTGTTCCCACTCCTCAGCTCTCAGCACATTCAGGATGCAAAGTCATAGAATAAGGTATTTGAAGAATAGTATAAATTTCAGAAAGAGAACCTGAGAGCACAGAGCAGAAAGAACCCATGAACAGTTCTACACCACAACTGTGCCTCCAGATTAAACCACATCCAAACCACTAACTCAGAGAACTCCTGCTTCTTTTTAAGAATTCAAAGAATTCCCTGGTCACCATTCCATGTCTCCAGCCTTCATCATCAGTAAAGACTGTGATAAAAGTGGTAGAAGAAAAAGAGCCTAGACTTGCATCAGCACCTCTCTCTCTTTTATAAAGGAGGGTAAACCCACCTACCTCTTTTGATGCTCAAATGAGAATATATGTAAACTTCCTTTATAAATTATAAGCCACAGTACAAACATTAACGTATTATACACCAAATTTCAATCCCTCTCATTGAGATGAAAACGTCCTTAAATTTATTAATTCCATAGTGATGATCACTACTGATTGGTCACTATCCTTAAATACTAATTCATCTCTTGTGGCTTTACATATTCCCACTGTGATGTAGGAACATATGAGAGAGAGGTAGATTTTAGGAAAGAATTTCTATTCAGTAACAGGACAAAGATGGGGAGCAGTTAGAACAATCTTTCAGATCCCTTAAGGATAGATCTGGGACTCCCAACCTCTTAGTGATTCTGCAAGGAGATGGCACAATCTCAGATCTATGTAGTTTGGCTGGGTGATTCAGAGGAGGTTCATTCTCCCAGAAAAATGAATCTCTCTGACATGGTAACATCCTCTTGGCCACACTGCTCTGTATCACTCTTGCTTACCTAGAACACACTTGGAATCCACTCTCTGTAGCCAACTCTTACCTTCGCAACATAATTTTCTCTAAATAATATCATGTATACAGCTTCATCTATGTCTTCTCTAGCCAATGCCTAAAATTACAGAATTAAATATTAGCATTTAGATCCTGAAGAAACAAACCAGTGACAAAATACAGTGTATTTTACCAATAGTTTGAGTGTAAATCTAACATCTGTACCTCAAAACATATTTTGTAACTTTTTATTATGGAAATTTTCAAACACAATTCTCCACGAACCCATCACCCAGGTTCACCAATGATCAACTCAGAGTCGATCTTATTTCATCCAAATCCCTACTCACTCCCCTGCCCCCCACCCAGATTATTTTGAATCAAATCCCTTACATCACACCATTATTTTTAAAGTACCAAGAAAGCTTACTAATTAAAGGGATCCTCTATAAAATGAAGCCTCTTTATAGGCAGTCTGTAGGTGTGTTTTAAAAGCCCTTGAAGTTTCCTGACTTCTGCTAGGTCTCTTTATAAGTTAAAACCTATTTATAAGTCAAAACTACAGAAGTTTGATTTAGTTCAACGGGTCCAGAGCCAATTAGCTGGGAACTCCTGGCTGAGGACCAAGATGGTCTTACATCTAGGGACTTGCTGTTTCCATTATGAGCTTGGGTAAAGCTGATGCACTTAAATCCTTACTTTAGGGCTTTTCATTTGGATCACTATGAACTGATCTTCCAGCTTTTACTCTTACAGAACTAAGTAGGGACAAGTGGAAAGGCAATAAAAATTCAGCATCTGGAAGAGAAATTCTGTTACCTAAAAGAATTATCTAGTGTAAAGTGATACAGGTTCTTAAAACTATGTTATTCAATCTCTGGCTCATCTTTCAGTTCTACCACAACGAGTGCATCAAAATAAACTAAACCTCAAACTCAAATACCAAATCTGTGAATAAGAGAAATCTCAAAACGGACAGTTGTATTTTTACCAGTATATTTAACAGCTTCACATGAAATCTAAAATGATATTCAGACAGCTAACTAGGGTCTTCTCCAAATTACAACCCTCTTGATAATATAAACAGACTCTTGCTTTAAAATAAAACCTTCTTACACTTATTTTAAGATGGAAATTGAAAAATCATGTAAAACAATTAAATGTTTTCCCCTAATACAACACAAATTTAGAATAAATCAATCTATTTATCTGAAGTAGAAACATACACCGACAATCATCTTGAGAAATCACATTTTTTTAGCCATCCTATTAACATTATTAGCAAATGTTATACACACTATTGGTTGTATGTCAGATTTTTGAACCACCTTTTCTTCGTTTAAGGAAATAGTTTTTGAGAGCTCCTTCTTGGTGATTGTGCGCCCGCGCACACGCACACACACACACTCTCTCGCCACTCTTACTGCCACCACAGTAAAAGGGGTAAAACAGAAAAAATATCCTAGAGCTTCTCTCTATAAAATAATGAAACTTTATGAGAAAATCATTGCTTTACCAGACCCTGGAGTATCAAGAATTCACCGGCAAGCCCAGACCTGGCTTCCCCCGCCTCTCCCGCAGGGCAGCTCAGGGACTGCTGTTTACCCACAGCCCGCCCTGTTGCTGTCCTGATGCTGCGGTGACCACGGGGAAACACTACAACCACCCTGGGCCAAATGCGATCCCTGGCCATTCCCATTCGGCGAATTCTTTGAGAACCAGGTCTATGCCAGGCGCTGTTCTAGTTCTGGGGAAAACAACTGTGATTAAGACACAACAGATCCTAATTTCAAGGGATTCATGTCCCACCACCCAAAGGCGGCCCCCAAATGCCACATTATTTTACCTCCATCAAAACAATTGACTCGGGTTCTGGCCACTTTAATTGTTCTGGCCCAAAATGTTTACCATAGTTGGACATTTTCGTGGCAGCCATAAATAACAGAATCCCCGAAGGAAGAAAGAGTAAATTGAGGAGATAGGTGATTACAGTTGAAAAAGTGAGGTCTTTCAAATTCAGAAAGCAGTGTATCCTTGCTCTGCCACTTAGTAGACTCGGTAAGTAAAACAAACAAAAAATAAATCCTCGGGTCCCCTAAACCTGTTTCAAAAAGGGGGTGATTAGGCTCCCCGACCCGTGGCCTTAAGGACCCAATCAGGCAACGCCTCAGGGTCTTCCCGGGTCTGGGCCCCCCTGGGCCACACCGCCGAGGGGCCACCGTGGGTGGTCGCAGGCCTGGGCTGCCTTCTGCTCCCCACTTCGGGCTCTGCGCTTGGGGCGCTCCGGGGCCGGTGGCACGGTGACTCACTGTTCTGGGAGGGGAAGGGGAGCTCCTCTAAAAACAAATTAAAGCACTATGCTTAGACCCCAGCCCCTCTTCCCGCAAGCCCCCTACACCTCTCTCGACAGGGGGCGCAGAGAGGAAGGAGACGCCTCCACCCCACCCCCCAGCCCCCGCTCGGGCTCGCCGCCACCCCGGCCCCTCCGCGTGACGTCCGCCAGGCCTTCAACCGTCCAATACGACACCACCCCAGGTTTTAGTTAAAAATATACATATATATAAATTTAGGTCATGTAAATTAATCCTAAAGAGAACTTACCATTTATCTGTATGATCCAGGGCAACAAGTAGAAGCGAGGATTGATTTTTAGTGCCTCTTTTGCCTAAGGAAAACAAAAGTCTCTCCTCCTATGCTCCAGGTCCTAAGTCTTCTGTGACTAGGAGTCAAACTCAACATGAGCCAGAGGGGTAATCAAAATGAATTTTAAAATTTTCTAAGGACTGTTGGAGAAACCTGGGGAGAATATGTGGGTGTGGATTTTAAGGGTGCCTGACAATTTAAGGAAAGAGCAAGTGAACTGAGATGGGTGCTAAGTAAGGCAGCTATTAGTATTTTTATTGTATCTTTCAGGCAACATTTCTTAACTCCTGGGGAAATACATTTGCAATAACTGTCAATATACAGTACTGTCATTTCTTAATGATCATACAGACACTGGACTCAAAGATGAAGTTTATTGCAGATGCTCTTCTTAGACACAGAACAATTCTTGAGCGCCTTTCTTGCTCCTCATCCTGAATGATTCCTGCTGGCAGATGGCTTCCTTTGAAGCAGCCTTCTTTTGTGTCCTCTTTTACCAGCCAAGGCTCAGGGTGTGTGCTCCTTGGTTGCTAAAATCTTTTGAAAATGACAGAAAAGTGTAATTGATACAGGGATGAGGGGCTTACAAGAGCAGAAAGAATTCCTCTGCTTTAGCTGAGCTGATCTCCCTGAAACCTAGCCCTCCTGTTGGCGCTAAGTGACTTGGAGGCAGGGTCCCCACCTAAAGCTCCTGACTCAGCCTCTCCTCACTCTATCTGGATTCAGAAACAAGGAGCTTCCGGGACAGAGCCAACCCTATTATAGGTGGGGTAGAGCACTGATGTGTGATATAATTTGAGGGACCCCTATGGTCCTGCTTTCTGATGTCAATATGCCTGGAGTGCTAATTTACACTAGGATTATTGTGATTTATAAAATACTAGGTTCCCTTCTTCCCTTCTCTTTTCAAACCTCTGAATCTCTGTCCAGCTTCACTATCAGCTGATGGATGACCTTCTGACTTATGTGAGAAAACGAATTAAACAGAAGTAAACAATCTTCCTTCACAAAATTCACCAAGCTGGTTTCATCTATGGCTATGCCCTCTGCCTTCCTTCCTCTTATAATGATGGATTGTCCTGACCTCAAGTCCTGGATCCTACCTCTCCACAGGTAAAGGAGGTGGGAGGGTGGAGGAATGGATGAGGTAGAGTATTTTAAGTAGAGAAGTCAGAGAAGGCTTCTCTGGAGAGATGATATTTGTGCAGAAGTCTGAGTGACCTGAGAAAATGAGACATGGAGAGATCTGGGGAAGGAGTGTTCCAGGCAGATGGACTGGCGGAGGCAAAAGCCTGAGATGGGGGTGAGGTTGGCGCATTCACACAACAAGAAAAGGAACATAGTGAGCGTGGAAAGAAAGGCAGGTGATACAGGTGGGAGGAGGCAGGTGCCCAATCATATAGGAGGTTAGAGGCCATGATAAGGAGTTAGAATAAAATTCAAAGTGTGAGGGGAAGCCATTAGAAGGTTTTGAGTAGGGGAGAATTCTGATCTAATTAACACTTTTAAAAGAATATGGTGCTGCATGGAGAACTGATTATACAGGGGCGAGAGCAGAAGCAGGAAAACGAGTTAGGAGGCTAATGCAATAGGCCAGGTAAGATCACAGAGGCTTGAACCAGTGGTAGTAGTGAAGAATTGAGAAGTGAACGAGCTAACAGAGCTCATTACCTATAAGACATGCGAACTGAGTGAAAGCAAGAAATAAAAAATGACTCCTAGACTTTTATCCTGGGGGGCCTTTTTGGATTATAGTCCTGTTCACTGAACTAAGAGAAATTTGGCAGGAAGAGGGGCAGAGTGCAAAATTAAGACTAATCTTTGGGACTTCCCTGGTGGTCCAGTGGTTAAGACTCCGTGCTTCCACTTCAGGGGCCACGGATTCAATCCCTGGTAGGGGAACTAAGATCCCACATGCCATGTGGTGTGGCCAAAAAAAAAAGAATAATCCTGTTTGGGGCTGGTTATATCAAGAGACCCATAACCAGTACAGTACATAAGAATGGTGTGCAGGGTATGATTACAAAGCAACTTATTGTATTTTTTTCCCTCACTGTCCATTTAAACCTGTTTGGTTGGGTAATTCTCCAGCAACTTCCTGTTTTATTTTCCTCATTGCAATTACTAGCTCAAGTGATATATATTTGCCTGTTTATTGTCTGTCTCCCATCAAAATGTGAGCTCCTTGAGATCAGAGATTTATCTGTTTTGTTTACCTCTAGTCTCCAGCCTTTCAAACACTGCCTGGTTCAGAGAAGGTTCTTGTTAAAATTTGAGGAAGAAAGCAAGCAAGCACATGGGAGGATACTAAAACGTGACAGTAAAAGGAGTGAAACCACAAAATTAAATCTTAATACATTTACCGTGAGTTTAAAAAAAGTAGCCCCCTTATCCTTTAGGTGTGGGGAAACAGTCAGAAAAGAAGTATGATAGATTGACTGTAGACTCAGACAAACGAATCATTTCCCTATTGATTTCTAACTGGGAGATGGGGAGGATAGGCTGTGACTTCTCCTTCAAATCCACTCCTAACAGAAGCTACACTCCAGAGACTCGGGACACAGGGTGTAAAGAAGAGAACTGAAGGGAAGTGGCCCCTAGACTGGGAAGCAGTAGTCTAGCCTAGACAAGTCAAATGGCACCAAGTTGAACCAGAGTCACCTTAGGATGAGAAATCTGTGCTCTGTGAACAACTACATTCCTATACATTTTACATTTGGGGACTTTTACTTTTTAAACTTTACTACTTTAACTCAGTATTATGGTCCTTTTGAAAATTTTTGCCTTTCTTGGCTAAATTAAGGGGAACAAAATTTGGGGCCTGGCTTGGGTGTGGTAACTGGTAAATGTGGTAGAGAGATGGTACAGATGGTGGAGCGATGGAAGAAGGGCAAAATCAGGAGAGGGAGCTAGGGAAATCCTACAGTCCACCTTCTAGAGGACATCTCTATTGTGCAGCTGCCAGGGGCAACTCTCTTCATTCCCTCTGAACCAAGGAAACCTGCCTCAGTTTCTTCTACTCACTCCCTTTTGGCAGGGGGAGAGGGTAGGGAGGGTGGCCCACTGCCTCCTGTCGTCCGGGAAGACTGCCATACAGAGAAGTTGTTCCCAGCAGCTTAGATTTTGGTATCAGCAATTGCTGCCTTGTGTATTACAAGATGGAACTACACCAGCTCTCACCGCATCCTGGTCCTCATCCCTGTCTGCCTCCTAGATCAAGAAAGTTCAAGGAAGAAAAGTGCCTCTTTGGGACTTGGATTCTATCCTTCCTGATAACATAGAGGTTCTTTTTCCAGAAAGGATGACCCTGTGTTTCCAGAGGGAGGAACCAGAAAGGAAAAAATTCTCCTATCAACTCAATTGTAGCATTTAATATTTTATTTAAATTTGAAGCTGATGAGTTCTATATGAATTTACACATTTTTATGAAAAATAAACCCAAATAAATAGCATTACCTTGCTCTAGTAATATTTTCATCTGAAATTTCATTGCTGCTTAATCAAACAGCTGAGTGAGGGTTCTCTGGCATATATGACCCCCTCACAGAGGTGTCCACTGTGGCTTCCCTGGGAAGGTCTAACTCTACCAAAGACAAACATGCCTCTTCGACCTCGATGCTGTAATTGGTATGCTTCCCTAATTCATGGAAGAAAATATAATCTTCCTCCTTCCTCCAGGGGGAGCTCATGAGCTTAAGCCTCTAGTTTAAGTCCCTAGGTACTCCAACAATGCAATATTCTCCTTCACATCTGAGTCACACTCTGCTATAAAAGACATTAAAGGACAAAACCTCTCCTTTTATACAATATATAAAAATTAAATAGGATTAAGATGTTTATTATCCTAAAACCTGACTCATACAAATATGTATGAGACCATGGCAGTTACAGATTGCAGAGGAACTTATTACTCTTTTGGAGCCTAACAGAAAAGAGTGATGCTAAAGCATTCCATCTTTTAAGGATTTCAGCTACCAAGTGAATAGGGCTTAATTTCAATACTTCCTATTATCCCTCAACTTCAGCTCCCATTCAAAAAAGCAGCAAAGTGTTAAACCACACCTCAAAAACACTGAGAAGTCCACAATGGCGAGCACCATCTCTAACAGTTATCTGTTTCTACTTTAAATCACTAAAAAGACCCTCATGAGGCAACCAGTTGTTCTCTCTGCTGGACATGTCAGAATCAAGCATCTCTAAGAGCCCTCTGGCTTCTGCCACATTGTATTTATTCAACAAATTCTGAGTTTATTCAGAATGAGGAAAGGGAAACTACTGCAGCTTACTTTCGAGCTTTTTAGGAACACAGAACTAACTGTAAGCCAACCTCCTAAACATCATGTAAGCTCACTTATCTTCTGCCTTGCTAGGTTCTTTTTTTTATTATTATCAAATTTTACTACGATATAATTTATGCACCATAAAATTCACCCATTTTAAATGCACAAATCAATGATTTTTAGTGTATCTCCAGAGTTGTGTAACCACCACCATGATCTAGTTTTAGAACATTTCTATCAGTCCAAAACCTCATGCTCACTTACAGTCACTCTCCATTCCCAACTCCAGCCCCAGGCAACCAATAATCAACTTCCTGTCTCTGTAGATTTGCTTCTGCTGAGCATTACACTTAAATATAAATAGAATAAAAATTGTGATTGTATTCTTTCACTGAGTATAATAGTCTTGAAGTTCATCCGTGTTGTATAGCAAGTGTAAGTACTTCTTTTCCTTTTAATTTCCAAATAATATTCCATGTATGGATGCACCACATTTTGTTTATCCATTCACCACTTTATGAACATCTGGGTGGTTTCCACTTTTGGGCTATTATGAATAATGGTGCCATGTACACCCACTCATACACAAGCCTTTATGTAGCCATATATTTCCATTTCTCCTGGATAGAAACCTAGGAGTTAAATTGCTGGTCACTTGGTAATTTAATGTTTAACTTTTTGAGAAACATACTGTTTTCCAAAGTTGCTGCACCATTTTACATTCCCTTCAACAATGTCTGAGGGGCATACACCCAGAGAAAATCATAATTCAAAAGGACATATGCACCCCAATGTTCACTGAAACACTATTTATAATAGCCAGGTCATGGAATTAACCTAACTGCCCAATGACAGACGAATGGATAAAGAAGATGTGGTACATATATACAATGGAATATTACTCCGCCATAAAAAGGAACAAAATTGGGTCATTTGTAGAGACGTGGATGGACCTAGAGTCTGTCATACAGAGTGAAGTCAGAAAGAGAAAAACAAATATCGAATATTAACACATATATGTGGAATCTATAAAAATGGTGCAGATGAACCGGTTTGCAAGGCAGAAATTGAGACACAGATGTAGAGAGCAAACATATGGACACCAAGGGGGGAAAGTGTGTGCGTGGGGGGGGGGTGAATTGGGAGATTGGGATTGACATATATACACTAGTATGTATAAAATAGATAACTAATAAGAACCTGCTGCATAAAACAATAAAATAAAATTCAAAAAAAAGAAGTAAAAAAAACCAAAGAAAACAATGTCTGATGGATCTCATTATTTTTAATCAGATACTTAACCAGTTATGTAACTATGTAGAGAAATCTCTTACTTTTAATTCCATTAACTAGTAAATTGAGATGATTCGCCATGTTACACACACAGTAGTATGTACCACTTTTCTGCTTATAACCTCTCTTCACTCTGGGTACAATACTGTAACAGCTACTACCCACCAGAACTAGTCCAAAATTCCATTTTTACTGCTCCAATTCAATTAAAAACCTCCTAACCTTTAACTTTAGTATGAATTGTTAACAACTTTTTTCTATGTCTATGCTTGTTATTTCTGAATGTGTCAGCTGTTTGTTCTTTAAAACCAGAAAAAGCTGAGGAAAGTTGCCACCTTTCCCAGCAGTGGGAAATGCCTGACGTCCAGCCACAAGAGTCTGGTGTATTCCTTGGCACCGACCCCAGCAACTTAAAATGATGGCAGGGGATGAAAACACAGCCAAGCATGTTAAATGAAAGAAGAACAAAGCTATGGAATAATAGGCTTACTTGTAAACAACTGCTTTTTCTTCTTCCTGGGATTCCAGAAGATGAGGAGTTTTTGCAGAGGGTTTCAAGTCAAAACTACTTTCGTTAAAATTCACTTTTACTTTTAACCTTTAATAAGATAACAGGTGTGAGAGGATGTCCTGAAAACAATACTAGCTTGCATTTATACAGAAATCATTGTTATACATTGACTGCTACGTATATTGTCCAAAATATCATTACTTCAAACTGGTGTACATTCTTGGGTGTTTCAGAATTGCTGAAACTATGATAGAGACTGGTTTACTATTTACTGAAACCCTAGAATCAGCTAGGCAAAGTTTAAAGTATTCCCTATATCCTACAGCTTATACTCTAAATGTAAAAAGAAGCTCCAGAGATTGTCATTTACAAGCATAAACGTAAAATGCTTTTCCTAAGAAAGAACCCAAACACCCCATTTCCCAGTCTCCTTTGCCATAAGGTGGCAGGCAGGTGCCTTAGATCCCTCTAGTCTTGCCCCAGTCAAGAGGTGGTTGGGGGACTTCCCTGGTAGTCCAGTGGTAAAGAATCCACCTTACAACTCAGGGGACGTGAGTTCGATCCCCGCTCACGGAACTAAGATCCCACATGCCGCTGGGCAACTAAGTCCACACGCTACAACTACTGAGCTGGCGCACCTCAACTAGAGCCCACGTGCTGCAAACTACAGAGCCCACGCGCTCTGCAACACGCGCGCCACAACTACAGAGCCCATACGCCCTGGAGCCAGCGTGCCACAACTAGAGAAGAGAAAACCCACAGGCCACAGCTAGAGAGAAGCCCACGCACCACAACGAAGAGCTGGTGCGCCGCAAGGAAAGGTCCTGTGTGCCGCAACTAAGACCCAACGTAGCCAAAAATAAATTAATTAAATAAATAAATAATAAATAAATCTTAAAAAAAGAGTTGGTTGGAAGGGTGATACTGGCCCTGTGAGGAGCATCCATTTTGTTGGCACAGATTACAGCAGAGCTGGTGGGGTTCTAAGCCAACCACTGGAGCAGCAGCTTCCTGATTCAGCAGTTTCCCGATCATAGCAGAAACAACACATCCCTTGGCCAGCCAATTCTACACTGTGATTTTGGAGTTATTTCTGAAATTCAGCGCTGTTTCTTAAGACCTCCCAATGATTTCATGAGTGGTGTTAAGTCCTCAATAAATGAATCCTTTTCTGGGGTGGCTTCAGTTGTCTGAAACCAAGAGCCATTATCGTAACTAACATACCCAGTACACCTAGCATGCAAATAGCCACACAAAGAATTAATGGAGGGCTTCCCTGGTGGCGCAGTGGTTGAGAGCCCGCCTGCCGATGCAGGGGACACGGGTTCATGCCCCGGTCCGGGAAGATCCCACATGCTGCGGAGCAGCTAGGCCCGTGAGCCATGGCCACTGAGGCTCCGCAACGGGAGAGGCCACAACAGTGAGAGGCCCACGTACCGCAAAAAAAAAAAAAAAAAAAAAAAAGGATTAATGGAAAGGATCAGTCTGATCCTGATTTAGTCAGAATGAATCTTCCTAGAGAATGTGGATTTTGAAATATGTTTTGAGTAAAAGAAATCGGTATGGCAAACATTTAGACTAGGGTATAAAGCACTACTAACAAGAGGGAAAAAAGGGTTTCCTGTGTTAATATATCTGAGAAGGACTAATGCAGTGGCCCATTTGTCTGCAGGAACATTCTTAGGCAAAGCTATCCTGGGGCAGAACCTTGAGATGAGAGTAAATACTAAGGGTACCAAACAATAGTGAAAAGGTTGGATGAGAAGAGTATTATCGGATTAGACTTCTCAACTACCTCTCCTTCTGCTCAGAGCAAACTGAAAGTAGGGACAGGAATTTCCTTAGTCAAGGAATCCAATGGCTTCCTCTCAGTTCTCTGTATTTGGCATAGTGCCTGATCCTTCTTGTCACCCTTTCCTCTCCTGATATCTGTGGCAAATCACAGACTGCTTCTTCTGTCTCCTTTTCTTCTTCCCACCTCCTAAACTTTATAGCACAACCTTTCATCTCAGTATTTTTCTTTTTCCCAGTATTCTCTCCTCAGCCTATCTAATCCATTCTTACGCTTTTACTCTCATTTCCAAAGTGAACAACTCTTTAATTTAGTTCTCCAACCTCAAATCCCCTTCTCTCTTGAGCTGTTGCCTCACTTTTCCAACAACCTGTAATACATCTTTACTTGAAAGGACTACCAGTATATAAAACTCAGTATGAACAAAACTGAACTCATCAATTGCATTTCTGAATCTGCTCCTCCTATGTTCCATCTTCTGCTGATAGCACCTCCAATCTTCCAGTGACCTAGATTTATATAGCAGGGTCTTTGGCCTCCCCCTCTCCCTGCTCATTACTTCATTAGTCCATGAAACAAGCACTTTATGCCACTCAATTACTATCCTCAAGGTAATTACAGTACATGTAAAGATATATATATATGTATATATATGAACAAAAAATATACTGTATATAGTAATGGCTGACTAGCAGCTCTGAGGCAGTGATCTTCAAGCAGTTTTGTTTATATACTCCTTAAAAGAGTTTTGAAAAACCACATAACCCCTTGAACATTTTAAAGGTGACACCTACAATTTTTCATTGCAAGTTTAAATAAGTTTGTATCTTAATAGATTTTTTAAAATATCAAATATTCATTAAGATAAAATGAGTATTCGCCTTAAAAGCAATGAAAATTTTAGGATACTATGTGATAAAATAGATTTTAACCACCATATTAAATAAAACACACCAAATCTGAAAGCAATCACAAAAAACTGTTATCAGAGGATTATAGCTATTATATTTTGAAATTCTGACAGTACCAGAAAACATTCCAGCTATATTTAAAAGAAGCATCAGGACTTCCCTGGTGGTGCAGTGGTTAAGAATCTGCCTGACGATGCAGGGGACACGGGTTCGAGACCTGGTCTGGGAAGATCCCACATGCTGTAGAGCAACTAAGCCCGTGCGTCACAACTACTGAGCAACTAGAGAAAGCCCGCACGCAGCAATGAAGAGCCAACACAGCCAAAAATTAATATATATATATATATTAAAAATTAAAAAATAAATAAAATAAAAGAAGCATCACTAAATTATACAGCTTTAGCCACTCCAAATTCAAAGCAACCCAACACAGACCAAGTACCCTGATTCTGTAGCATGCCTTTAAATCAATCAATTAATCAGTTAATTAAAGTAAAATAAAATATATATGACAGGGAAATACAGAAAGACCTGTTGGTTAAGTTTTCTTGCTTCATCATTAAAGGAATTCTCTCAAAAAACAGTATTTTTATTTGTCCCTTTATTTGGTACCTTAAAATTTTTTATAACCAGGTTGAAAGATATGCCTCTCTTTTAAAAAGTGGGATAAGAAGTCATATGAATGCAGGCTGGTTCTCAGGCAGATCAACTTTTGGAAAGAGTACATATAGACTTCAGAATCTGGAAGTTGAGACCCTTAAGACTATCCATGCCTATGTACACCTTGGTAAGTCTTTTCAAGCTGTTACTGTATATTTTGAAATTCACAATTTGAAATTCACTGCTTTGAGGGAATCCATTTACTTCAAACAACTAGACCCTGGATAGAATGTACCCTTTGAGGGGTCACTAGTCTTACAAGAGAAGGAGGGGGTCTTTAAGGAAAAAACACACACACAGATGTAGTAGACGCTAGAGGTGTGGGAACTTACGGCCATAATGGTGGGCAGCAAGGGCAGGTGGAATAACAGATAATAATCCCTGAGGGCAGATGCCAATAACAGAGCTAACAGAATACTGAGCCCTGTCTATGCCAGCTGTAAGGTGGGGACACCACACTTGAGACTGCCACACTGAGCCTAGACATTTGAAGGGAGCTGGTTAGGCCCAGGTTGATGGCATCCCAGCTACTGGCAGAGGCAGAAACAGAAGTAAATCATCTGTGTAGATAGAAAAGTTTCCCCAATTTAGGCCAATAGTACACCCAAAGATAAACTGAACTCACAAATAAAATTCACTAAGCATACGAGAAAGCAAACCATTATAAATGAGAATCAGCAGAGAAAAACAAAAGATTTATTAGCATCCCCCCAAAATACAGAATTTGGAATTATCAAATACAGAATGTAGAATGGCAATATATAAAATGTTTAAAGAAATAAATTATCCAATCACCAAGACTAGAAATCAAGAAGAGCCTATCAGGAATGAAGAAGCATATGGGATGGGTAAGGGGAGAAAATTTCAGAAATTAAAATTTTAATACTCAACACAGTGAAAAAAGAATAGTAAACTGGAAAATATATCCAAAGAAATTACCAAAGGTGATGGAAAATATGAAAGAGGTATTAAAAGTATTAATATATAAGATATTTACATATGATATATACAAAGACTAATATTTAGTACAAGGGCTCAGATAAGCCAGTCTTCCCCAAACATACTAGCCTCCACGAGAGTAGAGCAATGTGATACACAGAGAAAAATACAGAAAATCATCCAAAGAAAACATTTTCCTTACCATATTAGTCATCTCCAGAACCTTCCTGAGGATGAAAATAAATACTGCAATTGGAACCTACCATGTGCCCATTATTAGCTCACTATAAAATCAATATTCTCAATATCATCACCTTCGCATACAACCTGAGTTAAAACTGTCATGAACAGATTCCTGGTTTGGGTGGACCCTACCTAATTACTAGAGTTAGGCTTATGATTCTCAAAGACAATGAAAAAAAGTAGAAAGCCCATTCTTTCAGAATTCTGTCTTAAGGTTTATTTCTGTTTTATGTAACATTTACAGTGCCATTTATAGCAAATTTTTTTAAAAATAAGAAAATTATTAGAGTTCTGCTTCCATTTAAGGATGAATCAACACTGGTTCACAAAATGTAACAGATGTACCACACTAATGCAAGATGTTAATAGAGGAAACTAAAGTGGGGAATGGGGAGGACAGAATATACAGAAATTCTCTTTCTGCTTAAATTTTTGATAAACTTAAAACTGCTTCTACAAATAAAGCCTAATAATTAAAAACAAAAGATATCAGCTAAAACTTTAATGGATGCTTAAAGGCCAAGTGTGGGCTAGCATGTCATTTTGGAATAGCTGGGGTGACCTCATATAAGAAGTGTTTACACTCATGAGCAAGCTCTTTTCCATGGGCCTGCACCAGGTGCTAACAAGAAAGACTGGGCACAGAGCAGAAAACCAGAGAAAACCCCCATCAGTGGCAAAGATATGCAGGAAGAGATTGACAGCGCTAGGTAAACAAGTGCCCTTCCCACTTTCCTGGATCCTTCCCCCTTACAAAGCAAAGCATTAAGCTGCTGGCGTAAGGGAAGCAAACTCTTTTTCCCCCAGGGTGATAAGCAAAGATCTAGTGCTTTTGGGAGAGGAGTAAAAGCAAACTCTATCTACCTCTGGAGGAGGGATGAGAAATCCTCTTATATCCAGGACAGACTTAAGGCTCTATTGCTACTAAGATAGGGGTAGGAGTAAAAACCCTCTGTCCCAGGAGGAGGTGCAAGAAATTGCCTGTGTCCAGAATCCTATACTTAAACCCAGCAGAGGTATGCTACTATTGGAAGAGGGGCAGGAAACTACCATCCAAGAACAACCACAGACATAAGACAGTGTTTGGGTGCTACAGGGAGAAGAGAAAGGAACTCTAAGAAAACCCTACTTCTGAGGCTCAAGTATATAGGGCTTGCCTAAAACTGAGGCTAGGATAAAGAAAACAGAGAACATTCCTTTACCTCCCTCTTTGAGCCTACCAACAAGCAACAGCAGAATACTTCTGGCAGGGGCTTCCCTGGTGGTACAGTGGTTAAGAATGCACCTGCCAATGCAGGGGACGCAGGTTCGAGCCCTGGTCTGGGAAGATCCCACATGCCGCGGAGCAACTAAGCCCGTGTGCCACAACCACTGAGCCTGTACTCTAGAGACCATGCTCCGCAACAAGAGAAGCCACCGTAACAAGAAGCCCACGCATCACGACGACGAGTAGCCCCCACCTGCTGCCAACTAGAGAAGGCCCGCGCGCAGCAACAAAGACCCAACACAGCCAAAAATTAATTAATTAATTAAAATAAATTTTTAAAAAAAGAATACTTCTGGGATGAAGCAAGACCATGGAGACACTTCACTCCCTCCACCTCTGTGATGCAGCCTTGCAGGGATAGCCAAAAACTGAGGAGGGCACAGGAACACCTGAGAAAACCCCTCAGGTACCCCAGCCCCTACCCTAAGCACAAGGTAACAAAAGCCCACCACTAGAGGCATCTGAAGTCTGTGATGCATTGAAAGTAACAATAGCAATAATAATACCTAAACCCAGCTCAATTTCTGACTAGGTAAGCCCAATTCTCCATGCTAATGCCTGACAGAAGAAAAAGCATATTCATTTCTAGACATAAATATTCACTCTGTACTATTCTACCTCTAATGCCTAGCATTCAATTAAAACTTACAAGACATGCCCAAAAAAAAGCAAAACAAAATATCCCACTGTCAAGAGATAAAGCAGTCAACAGAACCAGATTCAGAATGAACCTGAGTTGGAACTCTCAAATAAGGAACTTAAAATAACTATGATTAATATGTTAAAGAGTCTAGCAGAAAGATGAACAATATGAATGAGCAGATGGAGGATTTTAGGAAAAATTAAACCTATGTGAAAAAAATCAAATGGAAATACTAGAAATAAAAATCATCACATCAGAAATGGAGAATTCCTCTGATCGTCTCTTCAGTATGTAAGACAAAGCTGAGGAAAGGTTCATTTGATGGTGATCAATAGATGGGACACAGCTGAGGAGAGACTCAGTGAACTTAAAGATAGGTGGGTAGAAACTGTCCAACTGAAATACAAGAAGAAAAAATACATAAATAAATAAAAACAGAGTATCTAAGAACTAAGGGACAATATCAAGTGGTCTAACATACATAGAACTGGAGCCTCAGAAAGGAAAAAAAAAAAGAATAGAACTAAAAATAGAACTACCATATGACCTAGCATTTCCACTCCTGGGTATCCGAAAAAAACAAAAGCATCCCAATGTTCACAGCAGCAGTATTTACAATAGCCAAAATATACAGTCAACCTAAGTGTCCATCAACAGATCAATGAGTAAAGAAGATGTGATACACACACACACACACACACACACACACAAAACACACACAATGGAATACTACTCAGCCTTGAAAAAAGAATGAAAATTTGCCATTTGCAACAACATGCATGGATTTGGAGGGTATTATGCTTAGTGAAATAAGTCAGACAAAGAAAGACAAATATGGTATGATATCACTTACAGGTGGAATCTAAAAAATAAAACAGGGGCTTCCTTGGTGGCGCAGTTGTTAAGAATCCGCCTGCCAATGCAGGGGACACGGGTTCAGGCCCTGGTCCAAGAAGATCCCACATGCTGCGGAGCAACTAAGCCCATGCGCCACAACTACGGAGCCTGTACTCTAGAGCCCACGAGCCACAACTACTGAAGCCCGTGCACCTAGAGCCTGTGCTCTGCAACAAGAGAAGCCACTACAATGAGAAGCCCAAGCACTGCAACGAAGAGTAGCCCCCACTCGCCGCAACTAGAGAAAGCCTGCGTGCAGCAACAAAGACCTGACCCAACACAGCCAAAAATAAATAAATAAATTAAAAAATAAATCAAACTAGTAACTATAACAACAACAACAAAAAGAACAGACTCACAGATACAGAGAACAAACTAGTAGTTACCAGTGGGGAGAGGAAAGGGGAAGGGGCAAGTTAGGAGTAGGGGAGTAAGAGGTAAAAACTACTATGTATAAAATAAATAAGCTGTAAGGATATTTTTGTATAGCCAATATTTTATAATAACTATAAATGGAGTATAACTTTTAAAAATTGTGAATCACTGCACTGTGCATCTGAAAAACTTATATAATATTGTACATCAACTATACTTAAGTTAAAAAAAACACGGGGGAGAGATAAACTGGGAGACTGGGATTGACATATACACACTACTATATATAAAATAGATAACTAATAAGAACCTACTGTATAGCACAGGGAACTCTTCTTAATACTCTGTAATAACCTATATGAGTAAAGAATCTAAAAGAAGAGTGGATATATGTATATGTATAACTGATTCACTTTGCTACACAGCAGAAACTAACAAAACTTTTTTTTTTTTTTTTTTTTTTGCGGTATGTGGGCCTCTCACTACTGTGGCCTCTCCCGTTGCGGAGCACAGGCTCCGGACGCGCAGGCTCAGCGGCCATGGCTCACGGGCCCAGCTGCTCTGTGGCATGTGGGATCTTCCTGGACCAGGGCACGAACCCGTGTCCCCTGCAACGGCAGGCGGACTCTCAACCACTGCGCCACCAGGGAAGCCCTAACACAACATTTTAAATCAACTATACTCCAATAAATTTTTTAAAAAACCACACAGGAAGAATGGGGCATAAGAAATATCTGAAGTGATAACAGCCTAGAATTTCCCCCCAAATAATGAAAGACATCAAACCACAGATACAAGAATCTCAGTGAACCCTAAGTAGGATCAAACAAAAAGAAAGGGGAAAAAACACCTACACACATCATAGACTAGCTAATGAAAACCAAAGACAAAGAGAAAATCTTGAAAGTACGCAAGAAAAAAGAAACATCACATACAGAGGAACAAAGACAAGAATTACAGTAGACTTCTCATTGAAAATTGAAATAGTTTTTAAAAATCATAATTATGACAAAATATATATCACTGTCTCAAGAAACAGTTTTCAAATTCGAAGAGGTTCCGTAATTTCTATCATACTAACCATTACCTGCTCCTTTTACAAAATTCACTCTCTATGTAGTTTGTAGGCAGTTTAAGCCACTCATTTGGAGTCATAAAGTGCCTTGAATTAGAAATTCCTGGAAATCTGGAATGCAGTTTGGCCTTCTCAACCTCTTTAAATTCTTTCATTGTAAATATTCTGCCTGTAGGAAGATGAGCAACCTAAATTAGCATCCTTAAATGCAACTCCCATTACTCTTGGGTTATGAAACCACGTAACAATTAGAAACTAAGTACCAGTCTCACACTGAAGAAGAATTCTTTTTCCATCGTCTTTGTCATATTGTGCCTTTTTCAAAGGGTCACGAAATGGTGGGATGGTAACCTACAAGAAAAACACTTCTTTGAGGACTGGGTTCCAGCTCTTTTTCAGTCTATTCTAAGCATCCATGCCAAGCTCTTATGCCAGAATAATCAAGATTACAGCATCTACAAACTAACAGCAATCTAATTATTATATATATTTAACACATTACAAAGAGATGGCAGCACTCCAATACATCTCCTAACAAGGCCCTTCAGCCAAAGAAGCATGGTTAGCTCTTGTTTTAATAGCCTTTTCAGATCACTGTGGATATTCTTTTTAGATATCAATACTATACCCAAACTCAACAAGTGGCAGCTTCTTAAAGGTCAGTTATGATGTAGAATCTGGAACCATATCAATGAATTATTCAAACTCTGCTACATTAAAATCCATTGGTCCATCTTGGACTTGAACTCTGAATGAATCTTTTATCCATATCATGAATTGGTTGTTTAGAGAAAATTAGATCACTGAGTTATGTGAGGTCTTCCAAATGTTAATACATTTAATTATACAATAATCACATTCATTAATATCATCACCAATCTCATCAGTAAAGTCTTTGAGTATTGGAACACTGTCACACATCATGGTCAGTATTTCAAAAATTCAAATTTTTGTTTGAAAGTTCACATTTTATCACTGGCAACAAATATTGTCAGCTGTTTTTCTTGAAGTGACAGACTCACTTCATTAATTTTCCAGAAAATGTCTACCAAACACCCAAGACTTAATAAACATAGTCTGTAAGTCATTCTTTCAAGTAAAAATGATGTTCCATGAAAAAAAATCAGCCAGTTCAGCTCACAATTCAAACAATCATACTGTATTTCAGTATGCAGAAATGCTCTTTGCATACCTCCCATTTCATCACAGAATATTAAAAAGATGTGTAGAAAAGACCAAGACTTGGAGGGGAGGAATGAATTAGGAGTTTGGAATTAGCAGATACAAACTCCTACATAGAGTAAAACAGATAAACAACAAGGTCTTATTGTATAGCACAGAGAATTATATTCAATATCTTGTAATAAACTATAATGGAAAAGAATCTGAAAAACTAAAAAACCAAATCACCTTGCTGAACACTAGGAACTAACATTGTAAATCAACTATACTTCAATTAAAAAGGGGGGGAGTAAGACTTAATAAAATTAATAATTTTTTTACTGTTTGATCAAGGACATTAAGTGAAATTGAATTTTTTTTTTTTTTTACTGTGAGTGCATGACGGTGAAGAATATGAGTACAGTACCAGTATAATTTGGTAACACTGACTTAAGTAGCTCTAAGGTACTAGCAGTTTTACCCAACACTGCTTCTGTACCATCAGTGCAAATGTCAACACAATGAAAAAGGCAAATAAAATTTGGCACTATTATGAAAAGTTTTGGCCTAATGGACCCCCTAGAAGGGTTTTGGGGCTGTCAAAGGTCTATGTACCTCACTTTGAGAACTGCTGCTATAACCTCAAAGTGCTCAGCTTACCTCAAGAGGTCACCTATCAGCTTCATTTAGAGTGGCAACACGGTGAAAGAACAGAATGGAATTCTGGTATCCAAAAGATCTGGTTTCAGGCTTCCCTAGTGGTGTAGTGGTTGAGAATCCGCCTGCCAATGCAGGGGACACAGGTTCGAGCCCTGGTCCGGGAAGATCCCACATGCCGTGGAGCAACTAAGCCCATGTGCCACAACTACTGAGCCTGCGCTCTGGAGCCCGCGAACCACAACTACTGAAGCCCGCATGCCTAGAGCCCATGCTTCGCGACAAGAGAAGCCACTGCAATGAGAAGCCCGCGCACCACGCTGAAGAGTAGCCCCTGCTGCAGCAAGAGAAAGCCCGCGCACAGCAACGAAGACCCAACACAGCCAAAAATTAAATAAATAAATAAATTTATTTTATAAAAAAGATCTGATTTCAAATCCCAATTCTAACCCTTACCAGGTATGCTACTAGTTAGTATGTCTAAGGATCTAACTCTAAACTCTCAGTTTAACTCTGACCTATAAAAATAGGGACAATAGCACATACATACACCCTAATTTGGGGAAAAACTTAAAAGACCTGCTTTGCCCTGCAACTACCAGCAGTTTAAAATGTCTATGATTCAAGGTAGGTTTTTTGTTTTATTTTCTTTAATAATATCCACTATTAGCAAAAGTGTGGAAAAAATACATTCTCGGGAGGAGGTACAAATTTATATAACCATTCTGGAGGACAATTTCGTGATATGAATTAAAATCATGCATAATTTTTAACCCAGCAATTCTACTTCTAGCAACTTACCCAACGGAAAAAATTAAGAAATAAATAGTTACAGGGATGTTCATCATAATGTCATTTATAACAACAATAGGTCAAAAACAATCTAGAGGTTCAAAATAAGGAGTATGTTAAAAAAAAAAAAAAAGATGGTATAGCAAGATAGTATATGTGTTTAGAAACATCCCCGTACTCTGCTATTTACAGCTGTGTAACCTTGGACAAGTAACTTAACCTACCCGTGCCTCACTTGCCTTATTTGTAAATTAGCAGTGAATGCTGAAATAAAGTGAAAAGAAATCTTAACATTTGGTTAAGCTCTCAATGCAAGTTAGCTATTAATAACAGAATACCATGTATTGATTACAATTGTATATTTACATTTATTGACAAAGAAAGAAAGCAAATCATAAACTACTGAGAAAAAAAAGATTTTAAAACCTAATGTGTGGTATGATCCCATTCTTGTTAAATAAAAATGTGTACATATACCTACCCATAGAAAGAAGTCTTTTTTTTTTTAATTGAAGTATAGTTGGTTTATAATTAGAAAGAAGTCTTGAAGAATATACAGAAAAATGTTCATGAGTTCATTCTGGGTAATGGAATTGTGAGTGGTCTCTTATTCTTTATTTTAAAATTGATTTTCTCATTTATATATCATAAAAATATATTACTTTTGTAACAAATTTAAAAGTCTGAAATTTTTTAACATTATCTATCACCCAATTATTATACAATATTTTCAAATTTTACAGAGGTTTAATTTACTTTGGACTTTGGCTTTTTTGTTCCTTTCTAAGATATGGAGATGGGACATGATTCTTAAGATTTTACTGCATTCGTTGGAAATCACTAAAGGACTACTTATATACTAGGACTGCTCAAAAAAACAAACCACATAATACCAAAGTTAAAATTAGAAATCTACCTTCAGAAAATTCGGGTCCTCTTTGTTCATGTAAAAAGGATCATATTCTTTTGGATCATAATGCTCTATAAATGCATTTCCCTATAGGAAGGAAATAAAACCACACATAAGAACAAGCAGTCCATAATTAATTTTGAGCATAACAGGACTCAAGAGTCAAACACACAGTTCCACTCTTATGCTTTGAAATGGCATCGATGACAAATGCAAAAGGGAAGGGAAGACCAAATTGGAAATTAAATTTAATGTATTTAAGTAAGAAATATTATAGTGATAGAAGGAATCTACTTAAAATTTGCAAGATTTTAATAAAGGATGTTGGAACACTAAAAGATACAGGAATTTGTTTTTAGGTACTTAATATTCAAACATCTCAGATCTCTTAAAAATGCCAGGAGAACAGAAATATTTTATAGCTTTATAAATAATCAAGTTCCAGAATAAAAAACAAAAAATTCAAAAAAACATATATCTTGAACCTAGAGTCCAATTTTTTTAAATTGGTATATAAAATTAACAATTACATAGGAGAAAGAAAGAAAAATTATTCTAATGTACACATTTAAATTCAGACCTAACCCGTTCCCTCCATCCTTTCCACATGCCCTGGATTTAAGAATAGTATGTGCTATAACGGAGTACAGATTACACATATACAGAATTGGGAAGGGCAGGCTGTTTGGATGATTATAAATAAAGATAACTATAGCTTTTAAAGCAACTGAAAAAAGTAATAAATGATCTCTTAGTACCTTTTTATTTACGTATTTTAAAAAAGCATCTAATTCCTCTTGTCTCCTTTTTTTAATCTTCTTATGTGAAGCAACATTTTCTATAATTCTCTTCTGGAGAGGATCTGCCACATGGTCAACCCATCTTTTATATAATATCTCTTTTTTTCTTGCATTTAAGAAGTCATGATGCTTTAAATACTTACCTAGTTCCTAGTAAACAGTGATAGGAAAGACAAATATATTATCTTAAAGTTTTCTTGTTCCAAATTTTAAACTTAATTTATATTCATAAGAATAACCTACAAAATCATCCATTAATTAAATCATTTGGTTGGCTTCTGTGTGACACACACAATACGGGAAACAAAGAATACGTGAATAAATTAGACAACATGCCTGCTCTCCCTGGAAGACAGACAACAAAACAAATCTACAAAACAACAGGAGGAGGGACCATGTAGCAAGAGATATATGGGGTTCAAACAGATACTAGTATACCAGTGTTCACTGCATCATTACTCACAACAGCCAAAAGGTGGAAACAACTCCAGTGTTCATCAACAGATGAAGGTATAAACAAAATGTGGTATATACGTATAATGGAATATTATACAATCATAAAAAGGAGTGAAGTTCTGACACATGCTACAACATGGATGAGCCTTAAAAGCAATATGCTAAGTGAAATATGACAGACACAAAAGGATAAATATTGTAGGATTCCACTTATATGAAATGTCTAGAATAGGCAAATTCAGAGACAGAAAATAAATTAGATGTTACCAGAGGTTTGCGGAAGGAGAGCTGGGAAGTTACTACTTAATGACTACAAAGTTTTGGTTGGGGTGATGAAAAAGGTTTAGAAATACATAGTGGTTATGGTTGCTCAACAGATAAATGTAATTAATGTCACTGAATTGTACACTCAAAAATGGTTAAAAAGCAAATTTTATGTTATATATATTTTACAATAGAAAAATTAAATTTTTTAAAAGATTTCCAAATTCGTAGACATTTGGGATGGGCCTTAAAGAACAGAGTTATCTAGGAAGAGAAGGAATGACACAGAATGAGGAAGAAGAATATTCTATGGAGGGAATTCCCTGGCGGTCCAGTCATTAGGACTCCACACCTTCACTGCCGAGGGGCCGAGTTCAATCCCTGGTCAGGGAACTAAGATCCCACAAGCCGCACAGCACAGCCAGAAAAAAAAATAAGAATACCCAGTGACTCCACAGAAGCCCCACTAACATGAAGGAACAAGTGAGTAGGAGGAAACTCTTACAAGGTATCTATAAAAGAGTCCTCACAAAGTACAGGAAGAAAGGAACTAAATTAAAGCAATCTCAGAGCTCTTTTAAGTTCAATCCTAAAGGCTAATGAGTGTTTTAATTGTTTTCTATATTTTCTAAAATTTTTTTTTTTTTTTTGGCGGTACGTGGGCCTCTCACTGTTGGTGGCCTCTCCCGTTGCGGAGCATAGGCTCCGGACACGCAGGCACAGTGGCCATGGCTCACGGGCCTAGCCGCTCCGCGGCATGTGGGATCCTCCCGGACCGGGGCACGAACCCGTGTCCCCTGCATCGGCAGGCGGACTCTCAACCACTGCGCCACCAGGGAAGCCCCCTAAAATTTTTATAATGACAATGTACTACATCTGAAATGGAAAAACAAAATTTAATTTTTGAGACACATTCTGCAGCCAATTCTTACCTTAATTATATAATTTTCTCTGTATAATATTGATTGAATAGCTGCATCAATATCTTCTTTAGCTAATGCCTAAAATGACAGAATGACATTTTGAAAATCAAATATTTGAAAATTAAATTATTAATACTACCTAGACTCATAATATTTTATGTGACATACATATCCCTGGAAAGTTCTCTATAAATCCAATTTTTCTACTTCAAATCATATCATCCGTACTTTTTAAAGAGGATTTGAATCTTTCTGCTCTCAGCTACAGTTCATTCTAGGGAAAAAATAACTCAGATCACAGACATTTTGAGTCCCAATATGGTCAAATGACTTCGCCCAGACACACATGGTAGGTAAAACCCATCTTTTTTCACATCCTATAAAGTGATACAATCAGGCCTCTATTTGAATTCATTTACTCTGAATGAATTCTATTTGAATTCATTTAGTCATTATAGCTATCAAATATTAATACTTTTTATGAACAAGCCACATGTTCAGTATTTTAAAGCAACACAATCTTCAGGAAATAGCTCATAAAATTAAAATTTTCCATTTTCATAACAAATTTTCCACAATTAAACATGTCAGAAAATGCAAGAGGTTGATTTCTAGCATACATGTGAATGTACTTAACATCACTGACTTACACACTTAAAAATAGTTAAAAAGAGTAAATTTTATGATATAATTTTTCCACAATGGAAAAAATGATTAATAATAAAAGAGTCCCAAAGTGGACATTTGGGATGGGCCTTTGAAATCCTCTCATAATTACACAAAAATAAAATATTCTCAAATTAACTGTCATTGGAATTGTCTTCATTTCCACTACCCTTGTTTTCTAGAATAGATGAGTAAAATCTCAAAATCTAAGAACTAGCCTTCCCCATTAACACACAAGGAAATTAAGGCTCAAGGGAGTTAAGCAACAACCAGAAGCCTAGAAAATCCTGCACTGAGCCCAGAATTCAAACTCAAATGTATCTAACTCCAAATTCATTTTCTTTGTTCTTTCTGCCTCACAGAGTTGCTATTCCTAGCAAATCTACTGCTGTCAAAACCAAGATGAGTACTGAAATATTAAAATCACCACCTGAAGACACTGGAGACTGACCCAGAGCAGGAAGAAACTAAAGGGTAGTCAACACTTGGAAAAAGAGAACAGCACTGGAAAAGTTTTCAGTTCTTTATGGACTTTTGTCTAACAGCAGGCCTCAGTCATAGCTAAACAAGGTAGCTCAAACGCAGACAGAAATACAGTTTTACAGATTCAATAATTAGAAGACAGAGTTCAGGGCAACCATAGCAGCAGGAAAATGAAGAGGAGAAATACCTGAAAGGAGTAAACCATAGACAGAATGCCACAAATTCTGCAGACCAAATCTCTGGCAGACCCTTGAACTACATAAGCACAAAGCAGACTCCGTGGAGCCCAGCTAAAGCTAAAAAAGGCTAAACAGTGATTTCACCTGCTGCCAACTGCAGGAGAGACAAAGTTCAGAGTTCGTGTTCAGCCAAGTTAACTGCCTGCTAAAACAAAAACTCAGTATTAATCAGAGGAACATAACAGAATCCAGACCCTTTACAATGTATCTCTCATAATGTCCAAAATCACTAGACAAATAGGAAAACGTGACCCTTACACAGAAAGACAATCAACTGGAGACCAACTCTGAGATGGCCCATATGTTGGAATTAGCAGACAAGGATTCTAGGTCAACTATTATAGCTATACAAGGATTCTAGGTCAACTATTATAGCTATGTTTAAGAAGTTATAGGAAAATATGCTCATAATGAATGAATAGAAAACCTCCGCAGAAAAATAGAGACTGAAAAATAACCAAGTGGAAAATACAGCTCTTAAATTTAAAAAACAAACAAACTTAAATGGGTTTTACAGCAGATTTAAGATGACATAAAAAGAGTCAGTGAACTTGAATTCAAATCATTAGAATTTATCCAATCTGGGAAACAGGAAGAAAAAAGACTGGAAAATGAATAGAGTTGTAGCAACTTATGAGACAATAGCAAAAGGTTCAACAAGTTGATAACTGGAGTCCTAGAAATGATAAATAAAAGAATGGAATAGAAGAAAGAAAGTTAGGAAGGAAGATAGAATAAGAGAGAACAGATTTATCCTCCTACCTTAAAAAAAAAAAAAGTCAAACAACAGTTCAAGACACTGGACATCAGGCTATGAAGGACAGTGGCCCCTGAGATACAGAACACAAGGTGAGCCTTAAAATAGCTCATTAGAGCCTGGAGAGAATTTCCAGACTGTGGCACAGAGAGGAGGAAATCAGGTGGAATCCACCTGTCTCCCTGAAATGAGCAGGGGAGCTGGGAGTCTGGGGAGGCCAGGGTAGCTACAGTTCATAGAGCACAGTACCAGAGGGAAGAAAGTCATACAGAGAAAGAGCTTTGGGGATCTGCAGAGAATTAGATCTGTAGAGGGTCCCCCGTGCATCTTCAGGTGAATGCTGAACACTATATGCATGTGGAGAAACTACCCAAAGAAACACTGGGCAAAGAAGTACCTGAAAGGATTAGGGGAACAATCCCTAGAGGTCACACAACCCCAGGAGTTATTCCTCTTAACATCAGCCAGGGTGACAAACTTTATGGTGCATAAAACAGTTGAGTACTTAGAGGGGTTTTACAAAATAAGTACTAAAGCAAAATTGGCCATACACTAAATGATACTACAGTTCTGTCTAACAAAGCTTGGTGGCAAGACATGAAAAAAATCAGACTGTGCCCAAGTAACTTAACCGCATACCAGAACAAAGCTCAGCATATTTATTGGAAATCAAAGATATCCAGCACTCAACAAGGAAAAATTCACATCTGGCATCCAATTAAAAACATCACCAGGCATACAGGTCATGGAAGAAACCTAAATGTCCATCAACAGACGAATGGATAAAGAAGTTGTGGTACATACATACAATGGAATATTACTCAGCCATAAAAAGGAACAAAATTGAGTCATTTGCTGAGACGTGGATGGACTTAGAGACTGCCATACAAAGTGAAGTAAGTCAGAAAAAGAAAAACAAATATCGTATCTTAACGCATGTATGTGGAACCTAGAAAAATGGTACAGATGAACCAGTTTGCAGGGCAGAGGTTGAGACACAGATGTAGATAACAAACGTATGGACACCAAGGGGGGAAAACCGTGGTGGGGTGGGGATGGTGGTGTGCTGAATTGGACGATTGGGATTGACATGTATACACTGATGTGTATAAAACTGATGACTAATAAGAACCTGCAATATAAAAAAACAAACAAAAAAAAACAACTAATACTAAACTTTCTTTGGGTTATTTGTATGGAAATATGTTTATATAAATGTTTCAGACATTACATGAAATTTCTAAAAATCTTATATGTTCTGGTATAATGTTATAAGTCATAATTCTAGTTATTACTTTAAAATGTATATCTCAGAAATTAAAAAAAAAAAATCACCAGGCACATAAAGAAGCAGGAAAATTTGACTAATGAAAAGAATCAATCAAAACTACCCCAGAGGAGACTTCCCTTGTGTTCCAGTGGCTAAGACTCCATGCTCCCAATGCAGGGGGCCTAAGTTTGATCCCTGCTCAGGGAACTAGATCCCACATGCCGCAACTAAGAGTTTGCAGGCCGCAACTAAAGATCCCACATGCTGCAACTAAGGATCCCACACCCAGCAACGAAGACCTGGTGCAGCCAAATAGATATTTAAAAAAAAACCTACCCCAGAAATGACACAGATGATATAATTATTAGACCAAGACATTAAAATAGTTCATAAGTGCAGGAAGCTAGACGAAACAGCAGACGTTTTGAGACAGGGAAGATTTTTTAAAAGGTCCCCTAAAAACTTAAGGGATAAAAACCACAATGTCTGAAATGAAAAATACAACAGACAGGATTATCAACAGACTGGGTATTACAGAAGAAATGATTAGTAAAGTTAAAATCATAATAGAAGCTGTCCAAAATGAAATGCAGGAAGGAAAAGTATGAAAAAGTTTAACAGATAATCAGTGGGCTATGGGAAAGCTTTAAGCAGGCGATTAAACATGTAATTTTATTTCCCAAAAGGAGAAGGGGTGGGGTAGAAAAAATATTTTAAGAAACGATGGCTGAAATTTTTCCAAATGTGTTGGGAACTATACGCTCACCGATACTAGAGGTTCAATGAACTCTAAGCAGTAGAGAAACTGAAACCTTCATACATTGCTGATGAGAATGTAAAATGGTACAGCCACTGTTGGAAACAGTAGGCAGCTCCTCAAAAAGTTAAACACAGAATTACCATATGACTTAGCAATTCCATTCCTAGGTTATATACCCAAGACAGCTGAAAACATATGTTCACACAAAAACTTGTATACAATGTTCACAGCAGCATTGTTCATAATAGTCAAAAACCAGAAAAAATCCAACTGCCCATCCACTGATGAATGGATAAATAAAATGTGGTATATCCATATACTGGAGTATCATTTGGCCATAAAAAAGAATGAAGTGCTGATACATGCTACAACATGGATGAACCATGAAAACAGTATGCTAAGTGGAAGAACTCAGACACAAAGGACCACATACTACATGATTCCATTTGTATACAATGTCCAGAATAGACAAATCTAAGAGAAAGTAGATTAGCAGTTGCCAGAGAACAAGGGAGAAGGGAATGGACAAGGACTGCTAAAGGGTATGAGTTTCCTTTTTGGGGTGATGAAAATGTTCTGGAATTAGAGAGGTGATGGTTATACAACCTTGTGGATATACTAAAAACCACTGAATTGTACACTTTAAGGTAGTGAATTTTAAATTAAAAAATGCACGGGCTTCCCTGGTGGCGCAGTGGTTGAGAGTCCACCTGCCAATGCAGGGGACACGGGTTCGTGCCCCGGTCCGGGAGGATTCCACATGCCACGGAGCGGCTGGGCCCATGGGCCATGGCTGCTGAGCCTGCGCGTCCAGAGCCTGTGCTCCGCAATGGGAGAGGCCACAACAGTGAGAGGCCCAAGTACCGCAAAAAACAACAACAACAACAACAAAAAAAACACACA